TATATTAGCAAAATAGGTTGAGACTCAAAACTGTTTACATCTCACAGTTTTCGTATTGGTGGTGCTAATCTAGCTCACAGAAAAAAATATCGGACTCTCGAATAAGAAAACTTGGTAGATGGCGCTCAAATGCGTTTCATGCATATTTACGTCCATTCTCAATTTTAAGACAAATATATGGACTGTTCTTTGTTGCTTGTTAAGATAGTACAAGTTAAATGGTTTCCTGCGGGGAATATTTTTAACGATTTAGAGATTTTTCGTTGAACTTTTTTCAACATTGTTTGGGAGAAAAGGAAAAACAAAAAACACACACACGAAAATAAATAGAAAATAAACGTTTGTGACAATAATCGATCAATAGAAGAAGGTCTTTGGAGACTGGTGCCGAGAAGGTCGAAAATAAAACAATTATTTCTTTTTAAGAAAATGATTAAATACCATTGTATGAATAATTCCGTGCAAAAATAAATAAAGCAAACACACAAGTTTACGCGGAAAATATCTCTATTTATTATGGCAGATGCCACTACGAATGTTTTAATTCTGTACATTTCACCATAAACAAGTAATTGTTTGTAAACTTTTCAAACACATTATTAAAGTTTTCCACCTTAAACGGTAAAAAATAATAGAAAATTAGAAATATCACGTAATAGTGTTATTTTCTTAATTACGTGTAATTCCGACTAATTCCCAAGAGGTAAATCCGAAACGTACCGGCAAACAGTATTTAGCTAGGTTTTTGAAAAGGTCAATTAACCAATCATGTACGGTTTACAGATCACATGCTCCTCCATGTACCAAAAACAGGACACGTGCTCCTCCATGCCTCAAAAATTAAACGCGTACCAATACCCTGCGGGCTCCGGCCCGCAGGGAATAAAAACTTGGAGCTAGTTCCCCAACTAAGAATGTCATTGACTGAACAAGCAGCAAGGGAGTTTGTACATTTATCTCAACACAAATTGTTTTATTTTACATTGATTATTATTTGTTTCAGTTCCAATTATTTTTAAAAAAACTATCGTATCACAACTTCACAGCAACAAATGAATACCTTCAATATACAATAGTGTAGATTAATATTTTTTTTATTGTTAAGACTGTTAAACTAGGTAAGTTGATCATAGAATCTCCTACAGTGTGCCATCACTAATAATAAAGTGATAATTCTCACAAAAAATAACATATGAAATATTTTTGTTAATACATGCGAATGCGACAGTATTACGTGCGTACGTGAACTATTTACGTGTCAAAGCAATATGTTTTACGAGCGCACAGGTGTTGTGCGTTTAGTATAATAATTAAGTGACAATATGGTCTAGTCCACTATCCAGGTGTAAACAGCTGTCATATTGTGTTTATTATCTTCAAACAGGCTAGCTATATGAATTAAATTATCAACAAATTTGCCAACTCTCAGCGTTACGCAGTAGATAAGGTTGTGGTAATGCAATGCAAGACAGCCAGGTTCGGATTGCACTTTTTGTCCAAAATATTGCTTTATAATTATCAATCCACTAAGAAAATTTTGTTTTATTTCTTGTAAAGATTATAAATACTGTACTATTTCTATTAACTTCTCATTCTGTTTTAAATGTAGCTATATTTAGCCCTATTAATCCATATTAAGCAAGTTGGTGCAAACTTATACGGAATGCATGATACTGTGCACAGACTGTTCAACTATAGTAAAGTTTTTACGAAATACTCTTCTTGCACTACAAAATACTATGACTACTACATACTACACACTACATACGATTTGATAACAAAACTACCTGCCAAATTGTTCATGTAGTTACATATATTATATCAAAATTAGTAAATAACTTACAAGTCTCTTACCAGGTACATAACACTCAACGTTATTTTTCTTAAGAACAAAAAACTCTTCAGTATCACAATTTTGACTGGTATGATTAACACACTGCCAAATAATGTTGACTAATAGTAATAACAATCTTAACACTTACAAAATAACATTTACATATTCACATGTATTCTGTATCGGTTATCTTAAAACTTACAAAATAATATTTACATATTTACACATATAACTCTGCATCTGTTATCATAATTGATATATGCATATATACATTACATGTAATACTAATTGAAAATTGTAATTATTATTGACTTTAGTACATAAACAATATTGACATATGTGTCACGGTTCAGAATTGTTCACTATTTAGAGGAGAAAATGTGTAAATAGCCAGATAGCTCGGTCATTAGAACCAGAACGATACTTGAGGGTATCGGGTTCGGGTGCCAGTCAGGCTTGACATTTGTCTTAACCTCTGATACTTTGGGCCCAACGGGGCACCGTGATAGCTCAGAGTTTGAGTTCCCATATTGCTCTGTAAATCTGTGAATTTCAATAAAGCAGGAGAGTAGGTCACTGTTCAGAACTGTTCGCTATTTAGGAGAAAAGATGGGTAAGCGGCAAGATAGCTCAATCGAATCAGTATTTTGAGGGTGCCCGATTCAAGTTTCGGCCAGACTGCATGTTTTTCCAGCTTACGCCATACGACAAAGCATTTACAGATAAATTTATAATATAAATCACATATCTTGTGAACTTTTAACTACACAAAGATCATATACAATACTTTTATTACGTTAAAGCTACGATTTTTTACAAATGAGTTTGTTTATACTATCACTTATGACTTCATGTAAACATTTTATGTTATTGGAGATGACTTATGGGCCCATTGGGCCGGGTGTATTTAACATGTTGTAAAATTAGATTTGTAAAATATGTTTACAAATGTCACTTAAAAATACATTACTTACTTACAGAATAAAAATTTAAAGAACCCTTCACATTTTCTGGGGATTTCATAATTAAAATAAAGCTTTATCAGTATAAGAATATTTGGAGTATCGGTTTCAATTCGAAAGTCATCAATACATGTACATACACCGCAGTGACATCCATCTGATCTAGCTTGTGAACTTAGATATAATTGGAACTGGCGGCAGGGTACGTCAGAATTTACTTTAAGATACAACTTTATTGTGTCTTGTTTAAATAACGAATTCCGCCAGATACAAGGATAACAACAACACGACGCTGCAAAACATTGGGAAGAATACAACATCTATGTCTGTTTCATTTTAATAGGTCAGGTTATAGTCTTTATAATATCTGAAACAAAATCACATAGAGACTCGTTGATGAGATCCCAATTTAATTCCCTTATTTCTTACATTAATCATATTAGAAATTAACAGTGAAATTACCGTTAAGACATTCAACACTAATTGCGCTTACTTACTTAATTGGAGAAAACCGACACTCGTTATACCCAGCTGCGTTTATGATCAATATCCGGATCAATATCCGGCTTAAGCAGTATTGGTGATACACAATATTATGTCAAAAATAAGTCCGCGCGAAAAGAATCAAATTTGGGGAATTCGGAACTTCATAAGATTTTTTTCCAAACCTTAATACAAAATTGCAAACCTTTATGTTTCCTTAAATAAATGATTAAATAAATAAATGATTAAAACATAATTAAATGAATAAATAAATAAATAAATGCATGAACGAATGAACGAAGGAATGATTGATTGATTGATTGATTGATTGATTGATTGATTGATTGATTGATTGATTGATTGATTGAATGAATGAATGAGTGAGTGAATAAAATTAATGAAAATGAATGAATGAATGAGATATCATTGTTGTTGATTTTTTACATATGCAAGTGCATGTATTATATTATTTATAGGATATATATAATCGTAAAATTTAAAAACTGTGTGGACAATCCCGATTTCATCTTCGTGAATTTACAAATTTACCTTTCACGATTTCAACTTCAGAGATTCACGATTTTAAATAATATAATTAATTCAAATTTTGAACATAATTTTTTTTAACTTTATCATTTTGTCATGTTTGGCTGATCATTTTTAAATATTATAATGAAAATGGCAATGATAAATAAATTACAAAATAACAACATTAATGCAGAATACAAAAAAGGTCTATCTAATCATCAAACGCAATTGCAAAGTATTCGCTTTTTATCTGGGGGTGTATGCTTAAAAGCAAACCAAGCGGTATTGAGCTAATATACCGCGTTGTGTATACAAAAGAAGATATTTCAAGGTACGTTGTCGTTCTTTTCTACTGGTGGATGTCTTACACGTTTTGTGCACTGGCGATATGATTAGTATGCAATTGACGTGTTAATACCTCCAGGAAATATTGCATTTATATGTACAGAATCCGTATTTGCACGAATATGGAATTTCGTATTTTAGTAATACACGGACTTGTTATAAAATTTCCGTATATCAGTAAAATACGGACTTCAGTTTCCGTATATTACGAGTGGACGGATCACCGTATATAAGTCATATAAGGACTGACATAATATACGGTCCCGTACATGTCCGTATTTCAAGTGTCCCGTATACTTACCCGTATATTAATGATATACGAAATCCGTACACTTCCGTATATCCATATATTTTTTGCAGAGTTAGTTGCTGCCAGTTTGTGCATGAAATGCATGTGCATATATCTATTAATATCTATTAATGGGACTAAAGTTCCGCAACAACAAACCTCGCTGTAACAACGATTTTTTTTCTTGTAAGATACTTCAAAATGACGCTGGAATTACATATGCAAATTTTCAAACTTGGGCTTTGTTGATTTTTACCAGAGTCATACGATACAGACTGGATGTCTGAGTGTATATTAATATTTATAAAGCCTTGGCTATAAAAGGAAGCTTAAACAAAACAAAACAAAAGAAATGACAATTGTTGTCTTATCCCCTGACATCACCAAATGTTTGATAGTGCCTTAGAAAGAAGTCAAAGAGCAAGAAAGTAGTCAGCTAATCACAAGCATTAAGCATCAAATGAATCATAAACAAAAGATATAGTGTAATGTAAAATTGCAAAATAAAGGTAAAAAAAAAACACAACTTTGTGGGTCTAAATTTGGTGAAAACGGAAACGCAATACGAGGGAGGGAGACGAACTGAACATAGATAGCCTTGAACGGCAACCCGAAATCCAAAATTATAATTCGAGTTTCGGTATAGCTGCACATTTTTCCCAGTGTGTGACGTTTTGCATGACTTGAATAAGTGAAAAAGCTACTTGGCGGCGTACATAAGTTCTTCTTAATTAGCGAATATTTATCTACCGTCGACTGTACTGTGCGTGTACAAACCGATTAACTTTTTCTCCATTTACTGTGCGTGTACAAACCGATTAACTTTTTCTCCATTTCATATGAGTGAATACGATGAATAAACAAATTCGAAGATTAAGTTTAGGAATTTTACTGATTCATATTGGTTTGTTTGCCAGTATTTTTTACCATTGGTATATAAAACATGAATGTAAAAAAAATGAAAATAGTATACATATAAAGAACACTTTGGTTGATATACCGGATATAGAAAGTAATTTCAAGAAGGCTTTTCCAGTGAACACGGTTTTTCGGATTCTTTTCATCAACAAACCACTATATATACATATAAAATCAGGAAATAATTACATACAAAAGAATTGTTATTTCAAAAATTGTGTTTTGATTGACGAAACTAAATCCTTTTCTCAAATGTCAGCAATTGTATTTAATGCCCAAGATGAACTTCATTTTAATGGTTCATTTTTAAGAAATGAACGTCAAAGTTTACAAATATGGATATCATTTAGAGAGGAGCCAATAGGAAATGTGAGAACAACATGGTTTAGAGATAATGTGTGGAAAAATGCAATGAACTGGACGTGGGGATATCGCCTTGACTCAGATATATTCTTTCCTTATCAGACATTAGCGACTAGAAAAACACAACTGAAACGTGATTACACAACTGTATTTAAGGGGAAAACGAAACTTGCAGCTTGGATAGTAAGTCATTGCCATGCTAAAAGTCTACGAGACGAATATGTCCAAGCTCTTATTAAGGAGGGTATCGACGTTGATATATTTGGAAAATGTTCTCAAAACAGAACAAGGGTAAACAGAAATCATATACATAAACAAATTAACACGGACTACAAATTCTATTTCTCTTTTGAAAATAATTTTTGTAAAGATTATGTGTCTGAAAAGTTCTTTGATTTTTTCTCTTTGGACACAATTTTAATTGTTCGTGGAGGATTTAATTACTCAAAACATTTTGATAATAACGCTTTCATTGATGCTTCTTTGTTTCCAACGGTTAAATCATTAGCAAAATATATATTAAGGGTTGGTAATGACATGAATTTGTATACAAAATATTTACAAGCAAAAGACAAGTATGAAGTTGAAGGAACAAGTTATCATAGTCGTTTGGAATCAATGTGCAAACTTTGTGAACATATGAACAATCAAAATAGGTATAAGAAAACGTATAAAGATATCGCAAGCTATCTAGAAAATGGAACATGTTTTAATCCAGAAAAAATCGAGTAAGTTTTATGAATTGTATTGATTTTATTTCTATTTCAACGAAATTCTCAACATTTGCAAAGTTATTGACATATATACGCACACCTTGCATGCATTATCTAGACTCATTATTAAATAAATATCTTACACTTTATACATTAATAAATATTGAAATCCGAATTTAAAAAACAATGTTGCGTTTTGTTGTTTAGCCAATTGTGTGTTTATTTGTTTACCAATATCAGTGATACTGGGGAAACAATTTCATACGAATTTATACTAACACTAATGCATACATATTTACAACATGTATGTATTAAAAAAATTCAATAATCTAAATACTGTATACAAACATTATCCAGGTCATATCCCTAGTTTATATATAAATATCTGCCGATTTCTTTTTGTCACGCGGGTTATTTGGCAAATCCAACCACTATTTTACGCGCTTTAAACAAATACAAACTATCTTAAATTGTTAAATTGAGTAAAATGTTTAACAGTTGAAATGTTTTGTTTTTCTATCTTTACTACTTTTTGTAAAAATGCATTTAAAATTTGCATTTGCCATGGCAAGATTTTTCCTACATTTGTCATCGCAAATTTACCATGGCATTTTATAAAATCACAAAACATTTTAAAATTTATTTAATGGCATGCTCTTGGTGATATTGTTATATTTTTATTGCAATCTCATTTTTTTTTTTCATTTGCCATAGCCAATTTTTGACATAGAATGCCATGTCAAATTTCTTTATGGCAAAATTTTGCGTTGGTATATCTCTGGCAAAAAAATACTATGGAAATAACATTAAAGTGTGCCATGGCTAAATAGTCTCATTCAAAATACATGAAAATGTAGGACTTTTCTATCTTTTAAGAAAGTTTCATAATTTTATACATGGCAGAAGATATATAAGGAATAGAATGTTTAAAGGTTAATAGTTTAAGCATGAACTATCTTTTTTTTCAACCACGGGTCATATTTAATTTAATGAAAATATATGACATTTTTAAATGACAATATTATGAGATCAAGGATGGAATATAATTATTTAAACTAAATAGTATAGAGCTTGAGTGGTAGTTATATAAAAGAGGGAGTTAAGACTCCCTAGAGAAAACGCAACACAGCAAAATTGAAAATGTTGTAGGCTCGGTTTGATTAAGCCTGTTTATGGACAGTACTGGTTAGTGCAAGTTATCGCTCACGTTCCCTATCACCGGCTTAAGCAGTATTAAACAATTTATATATGAACTGGTAAAATTTGGAATTTTGAAAGATCCGCAGATTTGTTCATGTGGCGGTTTCATAAAACTGTCAATGTGACACGTTGCCATTCCATTTAAAGCGGCATATGGTCCTCAAGTAAAATAATGTGTGTGCCCTAAACAAGAAAACACCGGCTAGCACCGGTTTATGCTGTATTCAACATTTAACATCCGCAGATGTGTTCATATTGTGGTTATCATGGAATCTCCAATGTGTCACGCTAGTGTCATTCCATGAAAAGCGGCATATAACAAAATACTTATAATAACATAATGAACAGACTATACTTGTAAACTATATCTATCTTTTAAACACAAAAATTATGAATACATATGTGTACACGTGCATTATAACTTGTATATTGCAGTCTGTATAATAAACGACCGCTAAGTAAGGACCTTACAGTTCTCACAAGGAAATGATGGGAGATGCATTGGTACAAATGTTATGAAGAACACCCTTATAACCATGCTATTTGTAAAAGATTCCGTTAAATGCAATCAATTCACCTCGAGCAAACGAGAAGTTTCACCCCTAACAAAATCGGCCCTTAAAAACTGCTAGTCCAAAAAATGCGTGAAATCTTGGTATAATGAGTAAAAGTGTGTATTTATTTACTCTCCAAAGGATAATAAAGTCATTTTTTTTTTGTAAAATTGTTACTATTACTATTATTATTATTATTATTATTATTATTATTTTTATTATTTTTATTGTATTATGTATTTGTATCATTAAAAAATTGTCTGTTGAATATTTAATTTTTAATTTTATCCTGATGGTACTTTATTAACCAGGATTGGCAGGAATGTATGAATAAACTTGCCCATCATCAATTTATACGGAATCAATCCAGCGCAAAACTATTATTTCTTTACGAAACCGTTTCAAAGATAAAACCTCAGTTTAAGATTGAAGCGAAAATGGAAATGTTACCACCCTTTGAGAAGTACTCATAATTTGAATTAACTCAAAACACATATTTTCCGACGATAATTATTAGAAACTTTATATGTAAGTTGGGAACAAACTTGTTTTATGATGTTTTTTTTTTATTTGATTACCTTTCAATTTTCAATTTCTTATTTATAAAGGGGAGGTAGGATAATTATTATTTATTTTTGCGTTGCTTACCTGGTAATGTAATTTCGTTTATTCGTTACGCATATTGAAAATTTAAACAACGATTAATTAATTTAATAATGAATAATTGTTCAATTAAGTCATTAAATTAATGATTATTAATTAATCAATTAATTAATTAATTAATCAATCAATCATATTATACTTACATATTCAAGCGTCACTTGACTGACAGTAGTAATTATTATGAACCATCGAGGTCACTTAGCCCCAATAACACATAATGATCGTTATATTCTGAAACTAAACTTGTGTTTTATATTAGATATTTGTCTATGTATTTATAATTTTAGATAAGGCTTTAAACATTCTTAAGATAAAATTCGTAGTAATAGCGTTGTAATAACGTAGTAAATATCACACGGAGTGTGATTTCGACTGAATGAATATCTTCAGACGGAATATAGACACTTCATATGCTTTCATAACACGCAGATTAATACGTGCCGATATATTCGTCTTCACAACATTTAAGACAATTATTGATTGATCGGAAAGGTTATAGCACAGAAAACAATAAAATAAGGACATTTTCACATTAAAAACTTTTAACAGGTTAATTATAATCTTTAAGACGGGTGTATTTTAATCAACTATACCCAAAACTTTCCACATTTTATTGGCGATTGTCGTTGACACGCGTTATGCATATGAGCATCTGGAAGTAAAGGTCAGGGGTTTAATTTACGATCTTAATTGATCTCAATTAAAATTTGAAAGTAAAAAAAAATATTTTGTTTTCGAATATTCGTATTCGTTTTTCATTGTTCGAATGATCGGAAGTGTTTCGAATATCCAAATATTTGAATATAATTCCCAGCCCATATTTTAATGATTATTATAATGCGTATGAACATTTGCATTACATATCAAACATATTCTTTGGTGTTTGGAAATTGATTTTGGAAAATAATTATATACATACATTTATATAAAATGTCACTTAAGTTACATCTTTAATTACCACATACAGGGTTTTTAAAGATATTCATTTAAAGCTGCATTTTATAAATTGTAGAACTTTTTTGCCGTCGTACTATCAACCGGGCAGTCTACAATTTTATTAAAAGTTTTTAATAATAAGGTTAAACGCTTATAAAATAGTGTTCAGAAATATTGATTTGAAAAGTAAACCCCAAGGTAAAACTGAAATTTTACACATGCAAAATGGAGACTATAATTAGAGCTTTGTAGGCGATACCCTTCGAAAAACGGAAACAAGAAAGATTTCCCATTCCATCAACTTACCGTTAGTTGTTTATTTAGTTCATAATCAACTGTCAAACCAATAAAGTATATTATCAAAACTAGTAAACATGCATACTTGTCGTGGCACGTATATGAGTTTTACAGCAAACATGGTAAATGCAAGTAAGGCCCGTAATACCAGGCTTCTTGGGGACTATTAATGCGGCTAACGACGCTCTTCTGAGTTTCTAATAAGCTACCCGGAAACATCTATTTCTGGCACTTAAAAGCGCTTGAATCAATTATCCCAAATGACCAGACAAAGATATAACAAAACTTAAGTACGTGTCAACTTATGACGGCTGTCACACGTCACTTGACACTTGCTAAATATAATATATATAAATATATTATAGAAGTAGATACAAGTTTGCAGTACCTATAAATACTTTTTAATATTAGTGAGCTAAACGAGTAAAAACATGTCAGAAAATGTTTTACTTGAAACCATGTGGAAATGGAAAAATATTTATTTATATTATATTATATTAAAAAGTATTTATAGGTAATGCAAACGTTGTATCTACTTCTATAATTAGTCAATCTTTTGAATTTTAATACTTATTTATTACCTCCCTTTATAGAATATTTATCCTATGTATTTTTGTAGCAATTTCATACTTCTTTTATAGAAGGTAAAAGAATATCTCATTTACAGCGCAATGTCGTATTTTTAATTCTGATTTCGGCATTAGGGAGACCATACATATTTTAAGGCATTAGGGGGACAAAAGTTATATATTTTATTAATAGGTTTTTTTAACACGAATTTATTATAATTGTCGTAATATTATTCTAGTTCATCGATTTATGTTGTTCATTTTTGCAATTACTTACAAGTAAAAAATATATAAAAAAATGGTCCCCCTAATATTTGTAACTGTATTGCATACTTTAAGGAGACCAAATTATATATAATAGTATATAACCAAGATTAGGGGGACCTATTGACCATAATGATATAACACACTGTTTAACTTATTATTTATGCATATTAAGTTAAAAAAATAATAAAATAAACAATGGTATGACTAAAGGATAGGTTGAGATGGTTAGGTGGAGGGGGGGGGGTCAGGCGGACGGACAAAATTGGAATCCCGACCCTCCAGAAGCCTGTTCCCCGGGCTCCTAGGGGCCTTGAGCTGTAGCTTGTTAACCTGGGCACTGTACTAGGACATATTGGGCAGGTAAAGTATTGGGCAGGTTAAGGACAAAAACAGGTGACGGGGATAGGGTGGCTTTTTTGACATGTAGGGGTTCGAGCCCAGGTGTGCTTAGAGTTCATAAGCAGTAACTAATACCCATTGATATTGCATTTGTACTACGTGAAGACGGGAGGGAAATGGTTTACGTGGCAAATATAACAAGAGAGGAATTGTCCGGTTGGCAAAATGAAGGGAGGGGAATAGTCTGGGGTGGCAAAAAGAGAGGAATGGAATTGTTAGGGTGGCTAAAATGACGGAGGGGAGTTGTCTTGGAAGGGTATTGTCTGTTATTCTTTCAAGACATAGGAGGGTGTCTGACAAATTCATTTAAAATATGTATGGTACGATCTCATCGGCGACTCTCCGGGCACTGTATTATGGAAGAAAACAGTCAAACATAATACCAGAACACTTAGAATCATCCCGGACTATCCCCTTCCTGCCATTTTGCCTCTCTCGACTATTCCACTCCCATCTGTATATTGACAATTATCATATGGGTAACAATTTTGAAGCCAAAATTTAAATGTTGCTGTCATGTCTTCGTTTTTATGTATATTTCTACACAGTGCTGTTA